CGCTAACTGTATTATACAATATTATACACAGGAACGCACATCACGTTAGACACAGAACGCGCATCGCGTATGAAACAAAATGGCTTCTAAATTCTCAATGTCGCAACTCTTTCTATCTATGGCTCTGCCTTATTTAAAAGAAGGGCGCCGCCTACGTCGGTTCCGCCTCATTTTTTTTCTATTCGTCGTTGCGTTGCGTCCAAGGCCTAGTCAAGCTTTAGCAAGCAATTACAAGTCATTGTTTTTGGTAAGTATGTGTACTGGCATTGTACCAAGTTACTTACTTTTCTAGACTATGTATTATCAAAAGCCACAATTGCTCGTCATTCCGGTTTCGATGTATTAAAAGATTAATATTTAACTTACAAAATGCCCTAAGTCTCTTGAGCGAGCAACTGTGGCTATCATCAGAGATACTGGACCTGACTAAGATTTGATAAGATTAATTTAGGAATTAAATACCTAAAATTACGTCTCCGTCACATTTTCCGTTCATACTGACTGTAAATCTATTTCACATTTTTCGAAACAGTCCGCAATAATTATACTTTTTAAGTAATTTTTAGTTTCATATAGTCCTGTTTTTGTTTTTTGGTTCAATAACCTTTTTTTCCTCCATTTTATATTGACAAAACGATTTATGGTTGGTGGTAAGCCTTGTGTTAGCCAGATCATGCCAAATATAATAGATTATCATAAACTTGCGGAACGGTAGAAATTGGCAAAGACATAAACATTGATTTTAGGTTATAAGATTAAAAGATAACATAAAACCGAAGATTCACATATAAGTGTCACATTAACTGGTGACGTACCGGTATGCATTCTATCGAGTGCACTAACTTACATCCACCAAGGGGTTAATTATGCTTTCAACGTTCTGTTGGTTAGCACGATTATTCAAAAACTAATGAATGGGTAATCATTCAATTTAGTGGAGTGGAACATTTTGGTCTAAGGAAGAGATGATTAAATTTAAGGGTGAAAAGATGAATGTGGTCACGAATATTTCACATTGAAATCAACCTAAAGAGAGTAGTATATAGTGGTCTAAGAAAGAGGTGATTAAATTTTGGGGAAAAAGATCAAATGTCAAGATCCCGGGAAGGGGGGGGGGGTGGTGTGGTATAGAGGAGTGCAAGAAAATTAATTGCGTTTAGAAATTTAACGACGGTAGTCTAGGACCTGACTAAGATTTGTATGTACTTCATTTAGGAGAGAATTTCTCAACTGTTACATGGGAACCCTATTTTTTCACTCCTAATTTGCATATTTAAGCTAATTTGCATATGAACGGAAAATGTGATGAGACATAATTTTAGGAATTTAATCCTCTTTTCATGTGTGCTCATTTAGAACAAAAACCCCTTCATTTGCTATATTCTTATACCGTCTAACTCAATTTCAAAATACCCCCTACCCTATAAAAAGGGGGCGTGGTCATTTAATAAAGGGCGTAGTCATTTTCGGGCTGTTCGTCCCGGATAGAGATTTTGGCACACATCCCATGTTATTCCTAGGGTTCATATTAGTCTATAACAGTTGAGAAATTCTCTCCTAAATGAAGTGCATACAAATCATAGTCAGGTCCTCTACTATATATTTTGCGTCGGACTCGCGCTTGAATCAGGTGATCGTCTGTAAACCGGGAAGTAGAACTAGCTGGTATCTGTCGTCATACTCGTGTTTGTATTGAGCTATCCACCTAACTGCATATTGAGCGTGGCGGCGTACTTCTTTATTGTTAAAACGTCAATAATTTAACTAATATTTTATTATTAATAAGCCTAGGCACTTATCTTAGTTGGCCTGCCTAAGTAAGTTTGTTTCATTTGTCACCTGTATTCTTGTAATTTTACTGTTCCCTGCCCTATCCAGTGCAAGTGTGGACGTGTACTTCTGCAGTTACTTTCTGAACGTTTACAGTTAATAAAATTCCTTGATTTTAGAACGAGGTATTTTGTGTTTTTATAATTATGTTTGTAATGTTTACGAAATCATTCACGGTGCAGCAGCCTCTAAACATGCCTACGTAATATCTATCGTTCAGTAGAAAAGTAAAAGTTTTCTCAACAAAACAGCCGAAAAATAAAGTGAGTTTGACACTGTAGCTATGAAATAAAAGATTCAGTTTTCCTTGGCTCCGAACAAGGGGCCGACTATAGAGCCTCGGTCCGTGTCCCCTAACTACCTAACAAATCACACAATCAATTTTTTTTTGCCAAAACTAATGAAAATATCGTCTCTCCGCCAAAAATTCAACAAGGAAGATTAACGAGACAGGGTACCAGGACTTGGAAAACAGCTGAAACTGTTCCGACGTGTGTGGAAATCAGGACAATAATGGATCAACTTTTTTTACGATATCAGCAAGATGCCAGCTTAATTTTTTTATGGACAATGATAAGCAAGCCAAAGACCTATTTGATGTTTTTATTTACTTTGTTTAATTCTCTATCTATAGCTGTTGTCTGAGATCCATGAGACCCCCGATAGGTGTGTGCTGGAGGCATAGTAGTCCCTCTAGTTAGATTAATAGGACTACTCATTTTCTTACCGGTATTTTAATTGTCTTAACTTTACGTTAACATGATTCAGGAGACGAATCGACCCCGGGAGGGGGGGGGGTAGTGTAACGAAAATGGGCTCAACGATATCAACAAATCGACACCCATCATTAAATAAGTTTCTACAATCTGTTTATTTTCTTCCTTCTTTTCTATTGTCATTCACTTAACTCATTAAAACACATTGTTTCTTAACATCAATCCATGAGTCAGCATAATATAGAGGCTATAGCCTATAAACAAACGGTACTTGCTGCTGTTATTAACTAAATCAAATAATGGATTTTTTCACTCACACCTCAGTCTATAGAAAGAAGACACAGCCCATGAATTTCACGTCGGCAATCGCCAATTGCCGACCATATTGCCGAGCCAGAATTGCTACAGGACGGCAATTTTTTGCCGACCTAGGCCTAGATTTCTTTGCTTCAAAAACTGCTTGGAAAGTCAAAAACTTTTACTGAAACAGGCTATAGCAGACACTAAATTTCATGTACATCGTCAAACCAAGGAAATTTGTGGTTCATAAAACAGATTTGTTTCTAATAGGCGTGCAGTACGTACTATTTGTGTACAATCGTCTTGTCTTTCAATCTCGCCTAGTCGTTTCGTAGGCTAGGCCTAGGTAGGAATGACACTAGCCAGCCAAGGCCTACAACATCGCCCAATTGAAGCCACGTGGGCCGCGTAGATCGTAATGCTTATCTAAATCTATTATTTGTCTTCATTATTACAATATTATTATCATATTTAAAATGTTTGTTTATTATCTAAAACAACAAAATTCACCATATTGTAGGCCTAATCCTACCGTCCGTTTAAACGCAATCATGATCGCATCATAACTTCACTACTGACAAGTACAGTACTGCTGTACCTGTCTGGAAAATCCCTAATAGATCATTCTGGGCATGGGCAGTTTTGAAGCAGCCTGTGATGCTGGGATGATACGATCGTAGCTTTTACGATAGTTGCCATGCCAAAGATAACGTTAAAACGAAAGCTATAACGAAATTTATTCGGCGATTTTCTTATGTAAAACATATGTATTATACTACACTATTAAATTAATACAAGTACGACCATTCTTTCACCAGCAATATACTGATTTAATAGAGAAATTAACAAAATCACAATCTGTAGATGACGATGAAGGTAGAGCGTTCGGAAAATTCGTAGTTTATACTATATATAGGCCTAGGTAGTAAAAAATTGCCGAGGCTGCCTGCCTCGGAGAATTTTTGGTCGGCAAATTTTTGCCGACTTAATTTTTTCCTAATTTCATGGGCTGAAGACATAAAGGCCTACTGGCCTTCTCACCGATTATTTCAGTTTATGTTCATACACCTACACAATAAGTCTTATCCGGACTCTTGTTGATAGGACATTTAAAACAAATAACACTTGGATCGGGTTTCATAAAGATATTAACGTATTAACATCCATTCTCAAAAAAAAAAGCATGTTTCCTTCATCAATTATTAAAAGAACTATTTTTTTCTGCCACCGTATTAACTCTGATACAATACTGTATGATGTACTGTAACTACCACTATATTCTATTTTAAATTTTATTTTTCTAAAGTGGTCTGTAAAAGGATTCAAATTCAGGATTTAAATTTGGTTTTTTTCTTCATTCAAAATTAAAAAAATTGTTTTCTGTCAAAGACCCCATACCTGTTGGTCTCCGCTCGCAAGTTGTTTACAAATTTGTTTGTGCAGGCAATGCTTGCTTGTCGGCGAAATAACCTGCATGCGGGAACACCTAAAGTGGATGGGAACTCCCACATTTTAAAACACCTGAATGCCTCCAATCACTGCAAACAACCAGTCAATAAAATTGTTTACCATACTAGACTCTGCCCTCACAACGCAGCTTCTCAAAATCAAGGAAGCGCTACACATTCAGTGGGAACAACTTTCACATATTAACAAACAGCTATCATGTAAATTTAAAACATTGGCTTTTGGTTTCATTCTTTATCATTCATTTGCTATTTTGCTAATCTTTATTCTTGAATGGTTTAATTTTTATTGCGGTTGAATTATTAAACTCTTATCATGCTTATTGTTTACTGTTATTCCTGTGTATGTATATATACAGTACATTGCAGATGTGAATATTTTTCACGACGATGGTAGTAGACCTACTGAAACATGTCTGGTTTGGGGCCGTGAAGGCCAATGCATTAAATATATGCACTCGCCTATAATGAGGTTTAAAGCAATTGTGTTTAATATATGCATACATATATATATATGGCTATATATATTCAATATTAGGTCTGATCGTTTTTCAACAATTCCAAGAGTTCCCTTGGAACGGCATTAGCATGAGGTAACATTATAATACATGTCATTATGCATGCTATAGTACAATACAATATAAATAATTAACTTACTGATTGCTAATTATGACGAAACCTTGGTTTGTCACATTATATAGCATTATTCAACGTTAGCCAGTCATGGACCTTGTGAAACTCGGCTTTACTTATCTTAGGCCCTTAACAGCCTACCTAGAGACGTCTGATCTCAATCGAGACCTGGACAAAATTTATGCCCTTATTTTCCAGGGTCCAACATTGTGCGTGAAGACCTGGACAAAATTTACGCCCTTATCTCCCAGGGTCCAACATTTTGATGGGAATCCCTTTTTAATATACAATTAATATCCCTCTAGAGTTCCATTGTCCCCTATCTATAATTCTGTTACAAACAATGAGCTGGACAATTTATATTTTTCACCAAACCCTTCACTTATTTTTAGCCCAAGTTAAACTTGCCATTTGATCATTCACTTGCTCTGGAATTGAATTTCAATTTTATTGAACTTTCTTATAATGTTCCTTGTATATAATAGTAACTATTGTAAATTATTTTATCTGCTTTTTTTTTTTACATGTATACTGCTTTTAATATTTTTGAATGTTATCAGTAAAGATGGTTCCAGAGATTTTCAATTAACTCTATATAGTAGGTGGCAAAAATTGTAGAGAAATTTGAGACTAAATTAAACCACCACTGAGAAAAATTCATCCTAATAACTTCAATTTAGTGGTAGAGATCAACAATCCCTGCAACATAGGGGTGAGGTGAAGGGGAATTTCCGGTCACTGTTTGAGGAAATGTTACAATGGGGCAAACAGATACATGTTTTGAACATTTTGAAAAAGAATGCCATGTTAGATAAACACTATCTCTATGTATAATTTGCATATTTACACTAGTTTGCATTTCTGGAAGTTTATTTACTTTGCACTATTTTTGGAAATCCTGCAAAATATGGTCACAGGTCAAATGTCACATTTCCGGTCACACTTCGAGAAAAAGTTACAATAAAACAAATAAAAATGTGCATGTTCTGGACAATAAAAGAAAGTAAGTGTCTGCACGACTAGTGGTTGTCAAGGTATGCTGTATCCATAATTTGCATATTTAGGCTAATTTGCATATAATATAGGTGTAGGCCTACCAGTATGTGAGGGATAACCCTGCATCTGTGAATTTTTTAATTGATAATTAAATTCTTGTTGGATTGGATTGAATTTATTTGGTGTAAACACCAAGGATAGACCACTTAAGCCTCAAAGAAGACTTAATTCCAGTGGGGTCCTTCTGGTGGTTGTTGGGCAGTACACCGGGAGACAATCCCTACTCTTTTCCGAAGAGTGTACTGCGTTCTTTAACGTGCGCATGGGCCATAAATGCACACAGGACCAACGGCTTAAACGTCTCATCCGAAAGACGGTGCGCTATTATTACTTGTATTTCAGCCCTCCAGCTGAAAAACAAGGAGAGGCCTAATTAAATCGTTAATTACATTAATAAAGTAAATGTTAAAAAAAGCTAAAGTAATTAAAATGGCAGCCATTTTGGATTTAAATTTTGCAAATTTGAAGTGAAACATTATTTTAATTTCTATTGTCACTTATATTTAAGCATATTTAAAATATTAGTATCTTTTAATGTCATAAACATATAGTTATTGGTAATAAAATGTTTTAAAATGGCGGTCTTTTCAAATTGCTGGCTACCCCCTTGTGCATGAAAAAAAAATTGTGGCACGTACGTTTTACTTTCAGTGATGTTTATTTTACCACATATCCACATTTTTTAAAATATAGCCAAAAAAAAAAAAGGCAAACACTCATTTTGCTACATTTCATACCAAACTAATTGATGAATCCAATCCCAAGTAGCAGTGGATACTGCAATGCTATTTTGATGTTGTTTTTGCAGAGAAATAATATGAATGATGTTTGCCCTACCTGACATGTTATCCTAATGATTGCTCATGTACGTTCCCAAAATGCTTGCAGAAAACACCGGGCTAGTTATCTACAGTTGTGGGTTCGATTCCCACACCTAAATCACTTGCGAGATTTTTTTTCAAAAGCATTTGATTGGGAACGTATTCAGCATTCGGTACGATAAAACGTCTAGTGGGTCAAGCATTATTCGTGTTTAGTATTATTGTTGCTATATTGTTGGTTGTTACTGCTGTTTTAATAACAGTGAACCGTACATGTACGTGTTGTGTTCTTGACTCTAATCTATCAAATGATTTTTTTTTTATAAATCCGTTATAGATCACTCTCTCGTAAACTATGGCAAAGGCACTTCAAGTTTTGAGATCAACTGGCCTTCTGACAAAACATTTTGTTAGGCTGAGTTTTAATTTGGATAGAAAGAATTATGGGTATAGAAACTTATCGATGTCTTCGTGCATTCAATCTGGACACGAACCTCGCTTTCCTTCAGCAGACTTGGATGGCAAAAATAAATGGCTGAATCTTAAGTTGGACGGAGAACAGTCCAAGAAGTACCCTTATGTTTGGCTTAGAGATAACTGCAGATGCAAACAGTGCTACCATGAGATATCATCGCAGAGGCTTTTGCAGTTCAGCGACTTAGATATTGATGTTGAAGCAAACGACATACATTTTACTGATGACGGCACTGCTGTTATCGATTTTTCTGATGGACATAAAGGAATATACCCATTATCATTTCTTGAAGGAGAAAAATTCCCCGCTTTCTCGGATCCTTTACGTCAGTTGAAGCAGGAGTTGTGGGGGAGTGAGTTACAGGGAGAAATTCCTACATTTCAGTTTTCTGATGTAATGACGAATGATGACGCATTGTTTGGATGGTTGACTGTGTTGCACACGAAGGGGGTCGCAATCATACAAAATGCTGATACTGCGCCGACCGAAGTTAAAAAGATCGGCGATCGAGTGGCGTACTTGAGAAAAACTTGCTATGGGTAAAATTCCTTTACATAATACTTCTGACAGCATAGCTTAAATTGAAATTTAAACTACACTTCTTTACGCTTTAAGAATGTATATTTAGGCCTAACCGGCTATAATTCAAATTTACCTAACCTTTAATTGAAGGTTAAGGTTTGAGTCCGCCGTCACTAATCATCAAAGTAATTATAACTGTAGTTATGTAATATTAGTTATATTTAATAATAATTATTATTTATTTTTGATTATTACGAAGACATCGTCAACAATAATAAAGATAAATACACACTAAATAACGGTAACTAAATGACGAAAAATTTAGGCAACTGCAATATACTTTATTACATGTTTTATTATGATTTAAAGACATATTTTTAAGGTAATTGGTTAATTAATATCAAAACAATAGGATATCAAACTAAATATGAATCTTTAATAAAAATTAATTTATTAAAATTGATTAAAAAATGATAGGGTTATTCCTCGCCAATTTTAACAAATGCATTACACCATGGTCATCATTTTTTTTCCTCCACTTTTTGCATGAGATATTCATATTCATGAGAAATGAAAAACTTAAAAATTTAAGAATCCAATTCTTGTTCATTTTTCTGCAGCGCCAGTTTAAATTTAAGGGGCGAAATAATGCGCCACAGAAATGAAAATTAATTTTAATATGCTAATATTTTCAGAAGTACAACCCCTATAACCCTGAAAGTTTGTGTTGCAGGACCATGGTAGGACATACTTTCAATGCTGATTCCAAATCTACAATCAGAAAAGTTGTAGCATTTAATGATTAGAAATAGCAAATGTCTGAAAATTGGACGAAAATTTGTCTGGACCATTGTTCAAGAGGCTATAACAGAAATAGTTGAACCTTTTTAAATCCCCATATTTTGAGGAATCATAGCCCACCATTATTTCTCACCTCATATACAGTTATAAACTTATCCAAACTCATAAGCTAAAATACAACCATCCAAATGAGCCAAAAAGTATTTTTAACAGCCCGCCGCCTCTCTTCCTTCCCCCCCCACCTCCAAAAAAAAATCTCTGACATCAGCAATATCGCAACAAGAATTTCTTGATATGTTGAAGAGGTATCCCTAATGAAAATATAACAATTTTTAATGTCCTTACTAAATAAATATTAGAAATTAATGTTCCTCGAAAACCTATGTTTTAACTCCGGTTTTAACACATCCTCAACATAATACGTATTTAACGATATTCGCATCGAAATTAAATTTGACCAAGCAAGACTACTGTAACAGGGAAATTTAAAAGCTTTGCAATGTGTGTGGTATTAGCATGTGCTCAGAGATACTATGCTAAGTCATACTATTCATACTGAATTTTCTAGATCGGTAAAAATAGCTTGGTCAATCTTCATACATCTGGGCACACTTCGTTCAGCAATAAAAGTAGCCGAGATGCTGGTTAGCCAGTGCGAACAAGGCTATAGACCTTTGGCATGAAAGTATCTAATCACAAATGATCAGTGATTAATCAAAATTTTGTCACAAAATCTATTTATTTCAAATATCACCACCAAAACCAGACCTACAGTAATAACAGGCTCCTGTTCTGAGAATATGTCAAATAAGAAACTGATCATTTGCATAATAATTAAGCTATTCAGTGGAAATTGTTAAAATACTTTATTGTACAAGACTCAAATAACATCCTTGTGAGTACATAAACTTGAAAATTCATTGAATAACATACTTCATTGCAAATAAATTGAACTGTTTCAATACAAATTTTGACTTGTCATTGTGTTACCGTCATTTAGTTACTGGCTCGGTAAATAAATGACATATTTAATATGCTAATAACTTATTAACAAAAATGAATTAGGAAATAAAATTAATGTCACTAGATAGCCCTACTAAAAGTTAAAACTAGCTTTGTATATAAAGTTGTATTGTTTAATCATTTATATTTTTTGTAAAAAGTTAACTTATGTTGTTTTCCAGTAACTAAATGACATATTTATTGGGTTTAATATTTTCGAATTTTGATTATTAAAACATGAGGCAAAAGTAAAACTGAATGAAAATAATATGTGTTCTTAGTTAGCCATTTGACCATATTAAACTAGATTTTAATATAATTTCAAGTTTTATCTTAGTCTATTTTGGTACAGTAAGTTTGTATGTGAAATTTTATCAGAATAAAAAAATTATTTATTGACATATTTTAATTAATATTTAACAATACTTCTGATTTGAAATTTTAAAATCTGAGTTTACATCTTGAAAGTATATGTTTCAAGCTTTAATTAGACACCAAAACTGTAAATATAGAATGAATTTGAGAATTTAGGTGTTTTGTCCATTTTGCATGGAATTGCCCTTATTTAACCGGCTATATTCATTTTTTGCCTAACGTTTAAGGTTAGGGTTGGAGTCGGCTCTCATTAATTATCAAAACAATTATAATTGTAATTATAATAATAATTATTTATTTTTGATTATTGTTATAGTCATAAAAAGCAAATCATAATAGGCCTATAATAAAAATAATATTAAGATGAAAAATAAGAATAGTAATATTAAGTATAGTATGCTCATAAATACTAATATCATTGGATTATGATTATAATCACTTGGTGAAGAAATCGTCATGAATTTGTTTTGATCATGTAGAGAAACGTTTCAAGTGATGAGCAAGCATGATCCCAACAGCATCACCTACACAGGCACAGCTATAGACTTCCACACCGATATATGTGCTATGTACAATCAGCCTGGTGTAAGTAGTGTATCAGACCAGACATAATGCTTGGTTGAGCAGTAAGGCAGGGGCGCTGCTAACAGCCTAATCAGCGCCGGTTCGAGCCACGGCTCACCAAGGGTTTGGTTATATGTAATAATAATAAAGGCTTTGTTTAAACACAGAAAAGCTTGAATCACCAGAAGGTGTTCTTCTACAAGGCCGTGATATTGATAAAATACTAAAAAGATTAACACCATTTACTAAATAAGTAAATATAAACAATTTCAAAAACTTACACCACTGGGTAATAACTGTTTAAATGAATAAACATTTGTTGCATTTTGGGTTTTTCCAAAGACAAGACATCATTAGATCTTGCATGGTATTTTTCTTCCTTAGGGGTAAATAATGTGTTTAAGTATGGTGGTGATTGATTATGGAATATCTTATACAATGTAATAGCCTCATTTCGATACAGTTGGTCTTCAAGTTTATTCCAGTTTAAGGTTTGCAGGGCTTGTGTACTCGAGTCATATTTTCTTACTTTTGTAATTATTTTAGCTGCCCTGTTTTGCAGCACTTGTAGTTTATTGTTTTGTTTTTGGCTTGATCTGCCCCGCACAACATTGCAATAGTTAATAGGTGTTTAGGAATAAGGCCTAATGTTTTTCATTTAACATTATCTATTTGTTCCCATGACAAATGTTCATCAATAACAACACCTAGATGTTTACAGGTTTATACTCTCTGCAATGGTATATTTTCTATGTTTAATCTAAATCAACATTTAATAATTTTGTTAGCCTTTGGTGTGTTCTAATGAACATACATTGTGTTTTCTCTACATTCAGACTGTGTTTGTTATGTGCTAACCATTTCTTAACATTTACTAAATCATCATTCATTTTCATTAACACTTCATTTATATAGGAATATGCGAAGTAAAAAGCTGTATCATTTGCATACATACTAATTTGTACACTATTAACACGCTTTGGTAGATTATTCGCATATAATGTAAATAACGAGTCCTTACCCAAAATTGCTCCCTGAGTGATTCCACATACACTATCACATAGACTTGATTGAACTCCATTACCTGGGTCAAGTGTGTATGATCACAAAGGTAGTTTCTAAACCAATTTATAACTTTCTAATCAAGTTTGAAAAAATGGAGTTTCTCTAAAAAAATGGCATGGTCCACTGTATCAAATGCCTTCTTTAAATCCAACATAACTACAGTAAACCAATGTATTTCCCACAATCAATTGCGTTTATCCAATCTTCTGTCATATTTATTAAGGACGATACAGTTGAAAATTTAGGCCAAAATCGAGATTGATATTTATAGATCATGCCTTCAGAATTTATAATTGATAAATCTGGTCAAAAACAACCCTTTCAATTATCTTAGAAAGAATTGGTAAAATTAATATGGGCCTGTAATTACTGGCCTTGGTTCTATCACCACTTTTAAATATAGTGTAGGGCAAACTTTAGCACATTTTCATTTTTTGGGAAATCTGCTCTTTTAGTGTAGCATGTTTGATTTTTAGACACAATATATGTCACCAATTAACATAAAATCTAATTTAGTACCTTCAACATTTTGTAGAACATCTTCCATATTATCAAACGTATACATGTCGGAATTTGGAGACCGATACCAGGAAACAATAATAGTTGGTCTAGTATTTGATTGTCTGATTTCAATAATGGTCATTTCTAGATTGTCATTTCTTAATCCATGTGTAAACCCCCCTTCCATATTCCGATAAATGTCATAACCATCTATATTTACATCAGTATCATTGATAGTGTACAGTCAAGACGAGTTTCGTTTAAGGCTATAACATCAATTTCATTTACAGTATTTTCAATTATGTGCTTAAAGTTTTCAAAGTTACCTGTTAGTGTTACAATGTTAAGACTTAAAATACTTAGCCCATGGTTTTCAAAAACAGGACATTTTTCAGAAAAAAACATCTGAAGTATAAGTACAACTATCTTGAATAGTGGTACTGAGGACCTTAAATCTTTCTAATTTTTTTTGACAGACAGATACTTGTTGGTAAATAGTCCCTGTTTACTTATATATCGTTTATCTTTAAAAAATATTATGTACATAGTCACGATTGTATTCACACTAATCAGTTACTTACTCAGAGGGGGAGCCATGTTGTTAATATTACCAAGTCTTGTGTCATACATAATATTGTCTTTATGTGACTAAACTTGGTTAAAATTTGTTCATTTTATTTGGTCTCCCCAGGTCCTAACTCTCGGGGGCCATGCTTCAGTCGCATAGTTTTCCCCACCCCTGCCTCTTGAAGAACCCTGGTACGTCACTGACTCCGATTCCGGTCCTGTTCTTCAGTGGCTTTGCTCATACTTCAGAAGTTATAATATTTAATTTCTACTAAGATAATATGTAAAATAGACATCCAAGAAGTAATGAAGCCTATCAATTAACTTATGTTTTGTTCTGATTCGTTTGAAGGGGATGTAGGCCTATATATTTCTCAAATTTGTAAAACCCTTTTAAAAAACATTTAAATGATCATTTTCAATGATCAAAGAACAGTGACGTAATAGGAGTCTTGAAACAAGTAAAAATGTGGGGGGTGGCCGATGGGCCAAAAAGGTGAAGGGGATTGATAAGGTGAAGGGGATTGATAAGGTGAGGGGCACTAGCTCGTAAAGTAAGGTGATGACATTAGGTGATTCTATTTTTTTTTTCCCTCTCCTCTACAATTAGATCATCAGAATATGTAAGGGCCAATGCAAAGAATAATTAAAGGAAACTGCCCTTTATGCATCTAGTTTAGACACTTGGTTGGTTGAACTGGAAACAACACATAGTTAACTTTGCAAGTAATGAACTTTTCCACTAAGGCATGCCTCTTAGATATTGTTGCTAACGTCCCACAAAACGATAGCGTAAATATATGCTTACACATGCATTTGTTGGAAAGCACCTGTGTTTCTGGTGAAGCGCGTATTACTGGCTCTCTTCTGATTGGTCAGTTGCTACTGTAAGTCTGATTAGAATGCGAAAAGATGTGTTCCAATTATAGATTGCACCAAAAACATTGGGTTTTTTTTGCTAAACATATACTGAACATCTTTAAAAAAAAAAACAGAACATCTTTGAGATTGTACTATACTATTGAATTGTATTTATTGTTTATAGCTCAATAAATGGAACATTTTGACTTTCATCTTTCATTACCACCATAATTAGGCCTGTTACATTTGTGTCCTAGATGCAGATGCTTCACTGCATTAAGCAGTCGACAGAAGGTGGCGAAAACCAACTTGTTGATACATACAAAGTCGTAGAAGACTTGAAGAAAGAGGAACCAGAGGTGCACAGCATTCTGAGTAATACTCTGTTTGAATTTACGGACATCGGTACAGACTTCAACGATTTTCACTTTAGAAGCTCCATACCAGCTATTAGGTAAGTTATTAATGTTTTGATCGTTACTTTAGAATGAATGATGGAAGCTTATCACACTTATGTCTGTATCTTTTTTGAACAAATATATGTGCATAAAAAAGTTTATTCAGTAAAAATGCAGTTGCAAAAAAGGCGTGTAGGTAAAAAAGTCTTTCTTCCAATGAACCAAAATAACCGAAAGGAAAATCACATCAACCAAAAACAAACACTACATATAACACCATTTTTTGGAAAATGGTGCAATATGAAATAACATAATTATTAATATTACATCGTCTTCTATTACTTCACAATTCAATTATCGCAAAATATTATCTAGTAACATTCATATGACGACCTCTTTCTATTAATAAATTATGGTTTCGCTCTCAAAATTAGTCTTATACTGTATGTAATGATAAAAAATGTTTATATTTCCCTGGCTTTTGTCCTTGCACCATGACGGGGGCTGATGTATGACCTGAGCTAGACCCCTGTGGAAACGTAGGACTCATTCTAACATTGATCCTCCATCCACGCTGTTTCTTAATTCTCCAATAAGTGTGTTTGTCAATTAATCGACTAATAAAAAAAATATACCAGCAGTTTGTTATTCGAAACTGTAACATATTCACTTGTAGGCCTACTGTAAGTCAAACTCTTCTAACAAAATTTGATTATTATGGGAGGGTCCCGGTCCGTCATAAACATTCCCCTCACTCCCTCACATCCGCAGCCAATTTGGTAATGGGGGAAGATCTTTTTGGTGTGCTGTGAACATTTGCTATAACATAGGACGAAAGCATGTGTCTTAAACATGTCGGTGATGATAATTTTATAAACCCAAACGCTAAATATTGACCTAGGCCTATTTAGGTTTCTTTCTTTTTAAATGATCATAGTTTTACGTGCTGGCACTTTTACTTACATAAGTAATCATTATTCAGGCCCCATAAAGCTATGCTGGAAGAGTGTTCTTTGGGAGCAAAATAGTCCAACTAACTGTAGATTAAATGTAGACCACTTTAAAACATGGGAGGGGACCCATTTTACACCTAAAATATAACTTATATATGGACCCGTCTTTTAAAATATGGACCGATTTCATGGATATAAACTGAATAATGTGGAACATTTTAATAACTGGGACCTATTTTATGCCTAAAGCAAACTAATGTGGACCCACATTTGAAAAAAAGTGAACTCATTTAAACAATTTTACCTTTGTTATGCATACAATATATCTAATGTGGACTCATTCCTTGTGTATATACTTGATAGTGTGGAAAATGTTAAAATGTGGGACCCAGTTTACACAAAAATCTATCTAAATTGGACCCACATTTTAAAAAGTGGACCCAATCAAAATATGCCAGTAACTGTAAAACCTTTAAAAGAATGGTACTGCAAGTATTTCTTCGAGAGCTGTGCACGCGTCTGGACTGCAAATCAGGACAAACATTTTGTCCATACCCAATTTAGTATATGTATATGATGATGGACCCATTTTACATGTAAATTTGCAATGTAGAAAGTAATGGGGGGTATTTTTTTTTCATTAAAGAAAACAATATTGAAGGAAATAGAGCGGAACAGTCCTGACTGTCCAAATAGCTGGCTACGGCATTGTGATGATGATAGTCATATTGGTCATGATAGGGATGGGGATGATGATGATGAAGATGAGATGACGAGGGTGGTGATGATAACGATGATAAAGGTGAGGATGAATTCAAACACTATGTGATGACTGATTCGGATAGAGGTTGTAACGATCTGGTGGTGTTAGTGTGTTATGAGAGATTTTGTAATGCCCTTCCTACTGCTACTGTACATGAAGAGTGTTTGATATGTTTGATGTAGATATGGAATCAACGGGAACATTAAGCAAGTGAGTATTCATTTTGGACGTCATCACAGTATGAATGTGCCTCCTGAACAAGTTTATCCAGTGTACAGCGCCCTCAAGGTTTTCTTTCGCTACCTATATCACGAGAAAAACATTGTGAGACATCGACTTTCTCCAGGTAATTTGATCGTTATGCGTTTATCGATATATATCTGTTTCATATATTGTTTGTGTATAGTGTACATGTAGGAAAAAACAGTTATATAATATATTTAGGCCTAATTGTTTTGTATTATAATCGTGTTGTATGTGGGTCACACCTACTCCCCGTCTATCCATCATTCATTCATGTACTAAATATAAAAATCTTTCAAGGCCTCAGATTACCAAAATACAGTACACTCAAATTGAAAGAATATAGTTATTTAAAGGTGTTAAATTTTCTTGGTAGCCCTGCGCCTTTCAAAGAATTATATTGTGATGTAACTCTTCGATTCCAGCCAACCAAAAGGGGAGTAGAAGTAAAAGACTTCCCGCTGTTGAATGTAAACTGAAGTAATTTAAAGTAAAATAAAAAAAAAATGTTCATAAGTTTATGGTCTCTAATTGACAAATCGAACTGCCAAATCAAAAGTAGAGGGCAATTTTAAGGATGACATTTTTGTTTTTATGCTACTAAACCAGGTTTTGTTTTGATTTTCAGAAACCTTTTCTTTTTAAAGAACATGTGTAATAAATACTGAATAAAAAACAACGTTTTAGATGTAAAACGAAGCATACGAATGGTACATCGTAAACATCTTGTATTTAAAGCCCTGTCCAGATGTTGTATACCTATATATAGTCATGATGTGCCTATATATGGTCATGATGTGATGTCATCATGACCATATTTAGGCATGTCACATGTTTATGTCAAATGAAGTTTGATAGTCTGGACAGAGCTTTAGGATATACTGTCGGTGTTGAGTGGATGTAAAGTTAAACAATAATTACTTTGTACTTTGTAGACTCGTGTGTCTCATCATGGAGCTGGTATTTTATTGACTTCAATCGTCAATTATGTTGATTGAATGTTTTTATATTTCGTCCTCAGATCCAGAATATAAACCAAATTTTTCTGTTTTATAATCATTTTATAGGAGAGATTATTTGCATGGACAACAGACGATTGGCTCACGCGCGCACAAAATACTATATTGATCCAACCATTAAAGGTGTACAGCGCCATCTAGAGGGAGGATACATTGATTGGGATGAGCTGAGCTCGTTCTATCGTGTTTTGCTTGAAAGAAGGAAGAAAAACGAGAATTCGAACTAGAATCTTGTTCAACAGTCTTCTATACAAATATACAAATATTCATCAAAAATCCTGAAATTTTAAGCTAAAATCTTAATTGGTTACATAGGCCCTATGTGTTTTGTTTGTAAAGAAGAATATAATCAAAGATTTAATTTCGGAAGAATTCAATCTGTTGCTATCTTTATGATCGTAATTCTATTGTTAATTGCACTTATTATATTATAAGGTGAAGGGGAGTGGATATTGGGGTTTTTGGGAGACGTGGTTGAGTGTGAGATAACGCACAATGGGTTCCAGTCTGGTTGATACTAGTACCGTAGATTACCTCATGTTTCGGTGTTGGTCGGGAATTAAATCCAATTCTATCGAAACTTGAAATGTGCATTTTTGTGCCAAAGGAGTGCTCGAAAAAAAAGGGTCATTGTCAAAAGAATTGATGGTCAAGATTTTAATTACAGAAACATCAATTGACTATAGAAGACTTATAATAAACATTTAAATTAAGGTATTAATCGAAAGTTGGGCCTTTTAACTTCACAAGGAACACTGTGTCACACTCGAGGTCTAGGCATAATATACAGTTATACGATTACCCATAAATGTTCCAATATCACTATAGTTTTGTTACTGTATAAAATGAAAACAGCGTTACGGACACAATAATAAAACATTATTTTTCAATTGTGTATGTTTTATTTTACTGTAACATTTAAAAAAACCCATTTAATATGTAAATGATGACGAACCTTAAATCTTTGATAGAATGGCCAGTAGAATTAAAGTGTTCACTTACAGGAAAACCATTAAGGTTCCTGACAGATTTGTAACGTTGTTACATATGGCGCAATATATATATATATATATACGACATTGGAGGCATGGCAATTAAGTGGTGTAGTGTGGATGGTGATGTTGGTACTAGGAACTTTGAACCTGTTCGATGTGTCAATGATAGTGCATAGCGACCTGAGCATCTTACATTAGATGGATATGTGTGCTATTATAAAACTACACTATTATTATTATTATTATTATTTTTATTATTATTATAGTTGGCATCGTCTGCTGTTACAAGCCATGTTGCCGTGAGTATGATTAGCCGAGCGTAATTTAGAGGAAGTGAGGATGGATTTAAGATTGGGGGGTTGACGTTGAGCTACAATAGGAGGATGAAGGTAGAGATCAGATATATTGGGGTCTTTTTGAAGTCTTGTAGTTGTTCTTGATTTGAGCTACCAAGAGTTTTGATGAGGGGGCTGTTATCAAATACCATAGGTATACGGGCATCGGTGACAGGTCTGTGGGTGTAAGACAAGGTCTGAGCGGAATTTAGCAGATGCTTTCGATATAGCAGATATTATTAGTTTGAGAGGGTAGGGACAATTCAAAAAAATTACTGTGAGGCGAGAGAGCTGCTGTTAATAGTCCGTCAGGTCCGAACAAATTCGCTTGAGTCCGATACACTGACTGCTGTAGTCGATAGACCGTTTAAGAGTAATAGGATGGTATCTGTAGAAATCAAGGATTGGTGATTGTCGGTGTTGAAAAGCAAGTCGAAGATCAAATTATTACATATCTCAATAAAAATGACCTTATAAATGTACTAATATGCTTTTAGGAAGTACCACTCAACTGTTATAAATGCCTTCACCTTTTAAATAATCTTTTCATATGGATTCTGGGGCGGATGCAGGATTTGGCAGTAGGGTTGGGGCTGAGGTGAGCATAATTTGAGAATATGGAACTCAGGTGTCCGGAAATTGCACTCTCATACCTTAAAAATCTTACCGGTAATTCATATCAACAATACAATACAACAATTATTTTTCTTAATACAATCTTGAGGGGGGGGGAGGGGTGTGGGATCGCACCGTCTGCACCCCACTCCCGCCCCAGAAATGCTATACACAACTTCATACTCTGTCAAGCATATTGGTTTATTATTCAACAATACAAAGGCCACAATGTGAATGTCCCTTGGCTGGAAGGTTTGGAACGCCAAAAAGTGGCAGCAGTGCAAAACACCGAGTCAGCAGTGCAAAACTCAGAGTCAAATCAAATTATTTTAACGTATAGACCCATTTCTACCACATCTGTTTTTTTTATTGCCTATTATTGTTTAGTATATTATTCAGTCATATATATATATATATATATATATGTATATATATATATATATATATATATATATATATATATATATGTAATATAAGAATAT